GCGTTGGTTGAAGTCGGCTTGAGATTCTCTCCCTCTGCCCTTCTTTCCCTCCAGCACCCACTCTTTCTCTCCATTTCTCTCTAAAATAAATAAATAAAAGCTAACAGCAAGTGCTTACATGCCAGGCTCTCTGCCTGGTTTCCTATACATCCTCTCATTTTGTCTTCCCATCAATTCTGTGTGATGGAAACTATTATTAGTCCTATTTTACAAATAAAGAGAATTTTAGCAAATTGCCCAAGGTCACAGAGCTAATTATCCAGATCTTTCTGGTTCCAAAGCCCAGGTTCTTAGCCCCACTTATAGTGCCTCCTAGTATTAATGAAATGTGATTACTGGTAGAAATGACTTGTTTGTCAGGAGAACAGTGAAAACAAAATAAAGCTACTGGGGGAGGCAAGGTTGTTTATTAACAACAAAATGGCAACGGAACTTTTAGAGATCTATTAAAAAGTATAAAAGGGTGAAAAATATTGTGAAAAGCGGAAATCCTGAAATAAATTCCAAGGGAACACTATCACACCCCAGGAAAAGGGAGAGAAAAATTCTTTTCCTCTTCTCTTGAAAATAAAACTATTATTTCCTACTCTTAAGAGACTCAAAACCTTGGCTCTCTTTAGTCATTCATTCATTGCACCAACGGGTAGCTATTTATCCAGAGCTACTCATTCCAGGTACTGTCAGCTGGGAGCAAGACAGAAGCTCCAAAGCTTCCAATCTAGCCATCAAGTACAAAATGTATTTCCAGATGGTATTAAAGTGCCTTGAAAAAAAAAATAAAGTTAAGGGGATTAAGAGAGGCTGAGAGACAGGGAAGGGAGGAGCTGTTCTAGATAACTGGTCTGAGAGGGGCTCTCTGAGACGCAAGTGAGAGAGCCAATCATGTAAAAATTTGGAGAATGGCATTCTGCTAAGAGTAACTACGAGTAGAAAGACCCAATGACAGAAACAAACCTTCAACATTTTAGAAACCTGAGGAAAACTGGCCCACTTGGAGCAGACTGAAGCAAAGTGGACCAGGTAAGGACCTGTGGGAGAGGAGGGAGAGGCTGGGGGAAGGGGACAGGCTGTCCAACGCCCAAAGGGAAGGGAGTTGGATTATGTCTGAAGGGCAGTAGGAAGCCATTGGAAAACTTTAAACAGGGGAATAGCATAATCCAATTTATTTTAAACCCTAGGGGGGCTATATTCCCAAATCTCAGGGAAATTCAGGTAGGTGTGGTCCTTTAAAGATGCAAGTCTCATCTTTTGCTAAGGAAAAAATCATTGAAAACTATCAACTCTAACAAAATACCTTTAGCCTGCAGGCCCTGGCTTTCCATAAATGGACGCTCAAGTTTAAAAAAAGAGGATTCCCTTTCCACAGCTTTAGACCCCCTTCCTGCTAAGGGAATTCAATTGTCAAGAGCACCTAGTGGTTTGTCAATGGACCCTAGGGAAACGCCAAGATAATTTACAAAGGAAAACAGATCCTGATCCTCCATTAGAGTCCCACCTGGACATCTCTTCCCTCTACTTTTCTATACTAGGATATCCTATCCTTTGCCATCCATTTGTTGCTTTCTTTTTTATTACGGGCTCAAAACTAAACATCTTAAATATGAGTGGCTTGACCAAACTGAACATTATTCATTTCAACAATCCTACAGTTAGTATTCCCATATAAAGCATACCCTTGGCAGGAAGGACCATTGTTGAATTTGAATTTGGACAGAGTTCTATTTGAAGCTAAATGCAGCTTTGATTAACTCAAGGAAATTTCTTTTACCCACATGTTTGGACTCAATAAGAGGGAAACCTCTAACGCGTGGATGCATCAGGTGTGTGTATGTTTGTGCTAGAGGTAACTAACAAGATTCACCTGCGCATAGGAGCCAAGCTGTCATCACAGGAAAAGAACCAGGGCTGAGGTAGGCAAGGAGGTCAGGGGAACTTGTGCCTTTTATTAACAACTGTTGACAGACAAACCCCTGACTCCCCCCATGCTCCCAAACAAAATCACCAGCCTGCCTGCCCTTCCCCCAGGCCACATGGCCTGGAATACCCGGCTATTAAACAACATCAACATTTTCTGCTGGCCAATTGTTAATACCCCAGGCATAGTAACTATGTCACTGCCTCAAAACTATCTGAATTTTAATGATTTTTATATTTTTATATGTTTTAATGATTTTAATAATCTATGAATAGTACAGCAGACTCACCAGCACTACTCACAAACCCCAACCACACGCACCTAGAAACATCCAGCCGTACAGCACACCGAACAGCAGCCCTCAAATGGACTGGGCAGGGTGGTGTGGGAGGGATGGGGGTCAAGGGATGGCCAACGCTTCATAGCAGCTAAAAGCAAACACCATACCCTTGGACTTTTCAAAGCCTAGGCTAGTGTGACTAGCAGGTGAGTGATCTTGGGTTTGCATAGAGTAGGTCACATACATGACTAAGGCTTTGCATGCCTCATATCCAGTTAATGCCTTTCATTGTTCATTGCCCCCAATTCTCATTAGACCAGGGTTTCTTATTGACCACCTGCATCACAATCTCATGGTCCACTTAATAAAAATGCACCCCACTGAGAATAAACATCTCCAGAGTGGACTGACAGACTGCATTTTTGAACACTATTCAGCTCATCTTTGTGCACATTCAAGTTTGAGAACCTCTACCCTGGAGCAATGTTTCTTAAACTGTGGGTCATCACCCAATCACCCATTTGGTCAAGAAATCACATTAACAGGCCATGACCAGCAGTTGGGTTGTTTGTTTGTTTTTAATTAGGAAGAAAAAACTATGTAGAGAGCACACTGCAGGGCGCCTGGGTGGCTCAGTTGGTTAAGCGACTGCCTTCGGCTCGGGTCATGATCCTGGAGTCCCGGGATCGAGTCCCGCATCAGGCTCCCTGCTCGGCAGGGAGTCTGCTTCTCCCTCTCCCACTCCCTGTTTGTGTTCCCTCTCTCGCTGTGTCTTTCTCTGTCAAATAAATAAATAAATAAAATCTTTAAAAAAAAAAAAAAAGAGAGCACACTGCAGGTAGCTACGGCCATTGTTTCCTGCAACTTATCACAGTTGTGGACCTCAGTGCACTGATGGAAAAGGTGTTCCTTACTTTGGATCCCACTCAAAAGTTTTGAAACCACTCTCCTAGAGGGAAGAAGGAAGACAGTACTCTTGTGCATGATGTTTTATTTTCCATTTTCCACCCCTAACTCCAAGCTTTTTTATTTTAGTTCAAGCACAAGATACCAAGACAGATCCCAGAAATTCTATTATCAAATCCTAAACCAATAAGGCAAATAAGTTAAGGAGAGGTATGAGCCCACGGCCCCCACTCTTGCCTGAGACCCCTACGATGGAGCTGGGGATAAAGGATGGTGCCAAAGGGAAGTCTGCACAACTCTCCCCAGGCTGGACCTGTTTCTTGGTAAAGAGTTTATAGCCACTCTTATCACAGTTCAGAGGAATTAAAATGTTCTTCATCAGGGGCAAGACTCAGCCTTAGTGTAAGTGCTAAGGAAATGGAAGAGAGGAATAGACAGAATTCAGATTCGGCCCACCTTCGCATCCTGTGGCAATGATGAAGTCAAAGGAAGGCTAGGGAGTGGTCATTCAAGCCCACTGATTACAAGGCCTGGAGTTCTCACAACCAGGAGAGTACTGAAGAGCATCAAGCATGTGAGGTCAAGTCCCTCCCCAGAGCCAGTGACAGGAGTTACCTCCAGCAAGTCACTTAACTTCTAAACCTCCTAAGTTCCTTGCTCTGCCCATGTTCTGTCACCAAATGGGGTACAGGGAAGCAAACAACTTCCCTGCTTGCCCAACGCTCTAGGACAGGGAACCCCATCTTGCTGGACCAGAAGAGAACAAGAAGAGAGGAAGGGCAAAGAAAAGATAAACCGCTAGGTATCTTGTTAGCGTTTAGATTCACCAGAAGCAAGGACTCACTTAAAAGAGCCTCATGACTCCAAGACAGAAAATTGACAAGAAGACCGAAAAAGCAAAAACCCCAGCAAACCCAGGAGCAGTTTCGTGTGCCATTCATGGCGGTAGGACTGTGGGAGGGTCTGCAACTTGCGACAGAGACAAACGTAGGACACACTCGGCTTTTTAAGTGCTTGTAAGCTGAGAGTGAAGTCAGAGCGGCAGTCTCCTGGGTTTCGTCCAAAAGAACAGGTGGTTACCCCAACCCCCAACGGGAGAAAAGCCACCACTTGAGTCAAGACACCCAGAGGAGGTCAGCGGCCAAGGAGGGTGAACTTGAAGCAGTGAGAGAGAGGGGCTGCCCCTCAGCGCCAGTTTCTCGGAGGTACTCGCTGGAGAGGCCCCTACATTCCGTCGGGCAGGAGAGAACTCGGCGCCCACCCCCTTGGCAAGGACAGTGGGGAGGCTCCGGGAAGCGGCCAGGCAGGAACTCGGCTGCGGTTACCTCGGCCCAGGGCCTGCCAAGCGCTCCTGGGAGTTTCGAGGGCTGCCAGTCCCCCACAGGCAGGGGCCCCGAAGGCGGCGCCCCCGGACCCAGTGTCTCCGGCGGAGACCCAGCGTCACCGGGTACAGAAAGCGCCCGAGGCAACCCCCCGGACCCCGAACCCGCAGAAACTATGCTGAGAAGCAGCAGCGACCCGGTATCCAAGTCCCATCCGCCGAACCACGCACCCTAGACTTGCCCGGCTCCTCGCACAACTCCCCGACCCCGACCCGGGCACCCGCGCCACCACAGGTCCCTCCGCAGGCAGCCGCCGGGGCCCGACAGTGTTTGTAAACAAACCGGTCACGTGGCCCCGGCGGCCCGCTTCCCGCCCCCCCGCGCCCGCGGCCCCCACGGGGACCCCACGCAGGACCCCGCCTGGGCGGCGCGGTGCACAGGGCGCCGCGCGCTCCGCCGGGGCGGGAACGGCGGGGCTCAGGGACCGGTGCCCGGCGCTGGGTGCCAGGCGTCCGCGCTGACAGTGCGCCCCACGCCCACGCGCGCCCGGCCCGCGCCGCGCTCCAGGTTTGCCTACCCGGCAGCAGGCTGCCCCGTCCGGCCAGCGCTGGGCTCGGCTCCGCCGGGGTGCGCAGCAGCGAAGGACCGCCCGGCTGGCTCCCGGGCTCCGGGCGCGCTCTTAAAGCCACAGTCTCCGCGACTGCCGCCGCCGCCACTCCGCATCCCTCCGGGTCGGGGCCGGGGGGCTGCCCTGTGACGGACGCGCGCCCGCGCCTATCCCCTCGCCTCAGCACATAGCAACACGCCGCGGGTTGGCTCGGCACGGCCGCAGCCCATCCGCCCCGAGCCAATCATCGAAGGACGGAACTCCGCCCCCCGCTTCCCCAACCTCCCACCCCCCCCCACCCCTCTGCCCTGGCCGGGCTGGGGTGCGGGGAGTGCGCGAGTGCCGGGTCTGGCCCGCCACGGCTCAGCCGGCGGAGCTTGGCTAAGCAGGGCAACTGGCTGAAGGAACAGAGAGAGAGTGAGAGACAGAGTGATGAGGTTGGTTGGCTTTCAGTGCCTGGGAGGAGACCGTTTATTTGCGTTTGGGGTTTGTCCCCAGGTCAAGGCTGGAATTCCTAGAACCTAGGGTTAGGAGTGGGGAGGCTGTAGAGTACTTAGACTTGTAGGGCCAAAACAGTAACTCCCTCCTTACACCTTAGCCATTTGTAACTCAAAGCCTAAGTTACCTGAAGAGGTCCTCAGGACCCGGGCCAGCTGAATTTAATAAGATAATGCCAAACCAGCCCAGGCCCTACTCAGAAGCGAGGCATTTCTCCACTTCTCTCTGTTCTGCCAGTAATTTCAGCGAGTTAAAAGTAGGAAAGATGTGGTAGGGGAATTGGAAGGCGCCCAGCTTCCTACTGCTGCTGATTTTCCAAAGCTTTTGAAGGGAAATGCGGATGGTTAGCCTAGAAAAGTAAGATGGTCAGTGACCAGAGGGGAGGAGCCCACTTTCTGGATCACTGCTTTTCAAGGAAGACAAGGTTAAAAAATAAGCCCAGGCAGTCAGGAAATCCAGGAAGGGACCAGGTGGGTGGAGTGGGGCAGTCTCCCTGCAGGAAGACAGGTCAGTTTGAGAAAGAATGCTGGCAGGGCTGAGGGGAAGAGAGCAGCCCAGCCTTTTCACTTCACCACTAAGGTTCTGCAGTTCCTCAGAGAGTAGTAGGAAACCCCATGTTTTTTATTGAGCAGCTCTCAGGATGTGAAATGCCCCTGGAGGTACAGCTGACTCCACCCCTTTCCATATACTGGTTTGCACATAAACTGAGAATGTTACTGGGGTAGATCCCCAGATGGCTCTAACTTCACCTGCAACTCTATCCAACTGTCTTTAAAATATATCTGACTCAGATATACAGATGAATATATGTTGCATTCATATTGTGTTCAGTTAATATACCTTGCACTGTTGGATATGAATCCAGTCCTAATGTCAGTAAAATGTTTGTAAAAACAACAAAAATACACATTCTTTCATTAGATATTATCAGTCTCAAATTTGCTGTTTGGGTGTAAGCAGGAGCACCATGTCACTGTTAACTGTTCACTTTTGACAAACTTGGGAAGTCTAAAGCTGAAAAGAAAAAAAAAAGAAAGCTTTTCAGATAAGAATCATGAACAAGAAAGGTTTAACAATCCTTTATCTAAAATGTGATGGACTCTTTAGATTATCGAGAGGTTGATTTCTAGCCCTGATGTGCCTTCTGGGCAAATTTCTTCGTGTGTGTGTGTGTGTGTGTGTGTGTGTGTGTGTGTGTGTCTAGGACTTCGTTTTCACAGTTGAAAACAAGAAGATTGAGATAGCATGATCTCTAAAGTCCCTTCCCCTCCAAAATTGTAAGGAAGGCCAGGAAGTCAAACTTGTTACAACATTTCAGCAATATTCTCCTAGTGAATATTTGTGTTGCCAGATCAACACTCCCCAACAGTAGATGCTGCATTAGTCTAACACCCTCGGATACCCGGATGTTATGTAACAAGGTTGGTGGATACTGTTTTGTTTAAATAAAAGATAACGTTAGCTAAGGAGGACAAGCCTGGTGCAGTGGTTCAGAGGGAGATCTGAGGACGCCTGCAGGCCTGCGGTGTGTATGCAGGAGACAGGAGAGGCGAACAGGATGGTAGGACCAGGAGACAATAGAGCCAGCCAGCCAGCCAGCCAAGGACAACAAAAAAATATTTAATAAGCCTGGTCATGCCTCCTCCCAGTCAAAAGGGCTAAGTATGGTGAGTTGCAAAGCATGAAGGCAGAAGTGGAACAAAGTAGTAGAAGGAACTTCTGTCTGAAAGCAAGCACCTCTAATTGCCTCTCAGTACCTACATTCTCAGTGCCTATTATGTGCAGAACTCCCTACTTGACTTGGATGATAGTATTCTGAAGAATCTACCGAGGAGAGAAGCTGAGGCCAATGGAGAGAGTGTCAGAATAGACAGATATATGTCCTGTAGGGCAAAAAACGAGATGGAGAGAATGTAGGGAAAGACATAAATTTGTTCAAATTTAGCCAGAGAGTTATTAAAAACAAAAAACAAAAAACAACCCTTGGTAGTAAAGGTTTGAGAGGTTCCTGGCCTCACAGACAGGTTATCAGCCTGGCTTTGTTAGTGGCCCAGTACATTTGTCTCCTCTGTGTGAGGCCAAAATCATTCATTCCCAAAGCCTTAACAGCCATTCTTTTCCAGCATCTTCTCTCCAATCCCATGTTCCCACTGTAGCCACATCCACATCGTAGCATTTGATATATTTACATCTTCCTTTCCCTCACCCCACACCAGTCCATCAGCAGGTGTTGTCAGCTCGACTTCAAAAATGTATATTTGCTCTGAACATGTCGGTCTCTGCTGCTATCACCTGGTTGGAGCTACCAACATCTCTTGCGTAGAGTAAGATGACCTCCCAACTGATCTCCTACTTCCAGTCCATTCTCTACACAACACCAAATCGTACTTTTTCAAAACAAACTCCTTATGATGACCCATAAGGCCCTACTAACCAGGTCTGCCAACCTCCCTGGTCTTCCCTATCGCTCCTTTGATCATGCTGCTCCAGTCAAGCTGGCTGCCTTTCTTTTCCTCAAATACACCAGGCCTAAGCCTGTTACAGTATTTTTATTTGCTGTCCCCTCCACCTGAAAAACTTTGCCCCAGAAGGCTGCCTCCTTGCCACTTGGTTCCCAGGTCCAAAGCCTTCTCCAGAGAGGGCCCCCTGACTACCCAATCTTCATGCCTCCCCCCCCAGGGTACTCTCTATCACATCTTCGCCCACCTTATTTTCATCATAACACATATCACTCTCTGAAATTACTTTGTTCACATATTTGTTTTCTGTTTCTGTCCCATCCAGCTCTAAAGTGTCAACTCCTTGAGAGCATCAGGGACCTTTATCTATCTTGATTCCTGTTGTTTTCCCCATGCCAAGAAGAGTATCTGACATTCAACCAATATTTGTTTGTTCAATAAATAAGTGAACAAATGAATGCATACGCCTACTGCCTCACACCTTGGACCCCACAGTTTCCTTCATTTGGGATGTTATTCTCTCCTTAACCCCCCACCTTCTCCCCTCTGCTGCTTCCTCTCATCATTCCATCTCAAAGCCTTTTGCTGAATGACTCAGGCCAAAAATCAGATCAAATGTCACTTTTTTTTTTTTTAATATTTATTTGTCAGAGAGAGCACGAGCAGGGAGAGGGGCAGAGGGAGAAGCAGGCTCCACGTTGAGCCCCATGTGGGACTCAATCTCAGGACCCTGGGATCATGACCTGAGCTAAAGGCCGACACTTAACCAACTGAGCCACCCAGGCGTCCGAGATCAAATGTCACTTCTTTGGAGGAGTTTCCCTTAACCTCCCTAGAAAAATTAATTTTTTTTCCTCAGTACCCTCATGGCACTTTCTTCACAGCACTATTATATCACTCAACACTCTGCACTCCCTATTAGGAGTTATCAGTTATCCATCCTTCTTGCAGTCCCTCCTGGGCTGGAACCTTATCAGATGTCTTCGTGTTTTCAGCACCTGACACACGGTAGGCCTTCTCTCAAGGTTTATATCTGAATTGAATCCATTAGGGATCCAAGCAGGAACGGATAGGAGTATACTGATCAACAGATAGCAGTCCTACTTTGTAGTGTGACAACATTAAACCTGAAACTTCAAGGATATTCTATAATAAAAGGGGCAAGCTGCATTTTAAAAGCACAGTACAATAGAAAGTTTTTGGAGGCTAAAGGCTACAGGCTCTCACACTACCATATCACCTGGGAAAACATTCCCCTCAGCCTGTGTGGGGAGGGGAAGATGCTCCTCCCAGGCTTCATTGTACCCCTTCCTCCCCCAACAAGTAAAATCCCATGACATTACATCACAGAGGAGGGCCTGGTGCCATCTTCCTGTGGACAGATCATGGTAACAGTGCTTTGTTTCTTTATGTACAATAAATGCTTTCTCTGATCCTTATCCAAGTCCCTCATTTTCAGTCATGAAAGTGGCTGATTAAATGCTGTTCAGACTGTAAATGGGTAAGTGTTGAACCTAAGCCCTCCTGAATGTACTCTAACAAAACAGCCGCCATCATTTAGTGAGTACATATTGTGCACAGAGCAATTTCTATTCTATCTAGTTATATTTAATCCTCAAAACAACCTGGAAGATAGGTAATTTTCTCTCTCTCTCTTTTTTAAAGCTGATCTTAACAGAATTTGAACCCTGATCTATCTGGCTTCAAAGTCCATTCACTTTCTTCTACGCCACCAAATAATAAAAATGCTTCTCTCCTCTTCTCTTCAAATATCTCAGTCACCTTTACAAGGAAACTCATCTGAACTATCAAACTATTGCACAAAGCAAAACCCTATGCCAAGCTAAAGGGCCTGGAAACAAGAGTTGTAAGGGCTTAACACTTCCATCTTAAAAACAAGAGTAACAATAATATTTATCTTGTTCTTCCTATGTTCTAGGAGCTGGTATAGACCACTTTACATGCATTGTTTCATTTAATCTAATCTTCACAACAACCTTATGGAGGAAGATACCATAGTTCTCTACATCTTAAGCACAGTTCAAAATCCAAAAAGCTCTGAAAATCAAAAGTGAGTTTGACAGAGCGCATATGGCACAATAACAGAGCAGTAGTATTCAATAAGTAAAATCTATAGGGTAAAAAAAACATTTGACAGGATACACGCAATTATATTTTTCT